GAGTCAGTTCGTTATCAGACTTCCGCTGCATAAATGCTCATCCTATATTGGTTGATCTTTGGTTCTGCCCATACTCATTGAAGTATGTAACACCCTACCTCCCCCCTCCGCCCCCCCCCGCCCACCCACCCCCAACACTGAAACCCAACACTCCTAATACCCCACCTCCAGTCGGCCCTACCTCGTCCAACCCATACGCCCCTCGTCGATTCCACTCATTAATCCTTCAATCCGCTGTAATCTTCCCTGTCATTATAGCTGGTCAACGGGCCCGCTCCTGTTCATACCTCCTGCCCCCAGCCCCGTTCCCAATCGGTACTGACCTTCTCCCCACACACTCCTCCTTTGCGATGCTGCGCCCAACCCCAGTCCAGCACGTCAGCCACGATACGCCCCACCTGCCCCGTTAACAGCCTGCCCCCACCCTCGGCCATTCGCTTTATCATTTCACTTCAAAAAACCAAAATAAAAATCAAGATAATCTCCCTGCATCACTACCTCGTCTCCGCTCCTGCCAGCTTTCCCACCGCTACCAGCATACCCCCACATCCACACCTCCACTCATCCCCCCCTCCACTCATTGCCACCCACACCCCTTCTGCACCTACCTTTCAGCCTCCCCCACCCCTCCCTGGCCTTGCCCTCAACACGAATTCTGCTCGCACCATATTTTATCCTCTCCCTCCCTTATGGAGGTATTCCTTGCAAAAATTCTGCTCCATTCCCGCTAGCGCCACCAGCCATTCTCCCCCTCCCCTCGCAAATCCCTTATACACGAAATCCGTTAAGCGTCCCAACCTTGTCTCCCCTCTCACCCGTATTCCCATTCAGTCTAGTATAACCCCACACTCACTCTTCCGCCCTCCACCCAGATCCACCCACCTCCCTTGTGCTCCCATGATCCTTTCTCGCACTCTCTCAAACCGCCATCTCACCCAATTCATCCACCCTCGTCATACCCCACTAGTTCTCTGGTCTGATAGCGCCTGACAGCGCCTACATCCAGGGAGAAAAAAAAAAAAAAAAAAGATACTCCACCCTGCTTACACTAGCTTCCCGTAACTGTACTCACACGAAACCCCCCAATTTGGCCAACCTCCTTTTCTTATACTGAAAGCGAAATTCCCCCATCTGACTAACCTGTCCCCCTTAACCCCCTCACTCACTTCAGCAGTTCGCGGAAATACCCCAGCTGGTCCTCAGACCCCTCTCACTCACTCCACTAGTAACAAGGCTTGACCTTTAGCAGATTGGATTGTCTCGTCAGTAGGGTAATAGGGCACATTAGCCTCCCTTGAAGGAGCAGCCATGCAAAGCCCCAGGGGGCGCAGGGCCCCAGCGACGTTCAAACAAACACTCCAAGCCACCACTGCAAATGGGCATACATCTCTCATTAAAAAATCATCAACAATGATGCCCTGAAATTCCTCGTTGAAAAAACCGAAGTACAAGGTGAAATGGTAATCGAAAAGCACCCAAGCAGGGAAGGAAATGCTGAGGAAACCATAATCTGGAAATATCCGGATGGCAAAGTGCCGGAACTCGATGAGACATGAGGTCGCTTATAATTTTGCAAGGACTGGGGCAGATCTGATGCCAGGAGAGAAACGAAAGTGGATCACTGCAACGATAAAAAAAGAAGAAAAATTGAAAGCTGCAAATGAATCCTTCTCGCTGATGAACCTGGATCGCACCTCAGTCATGGTGACCTTCAACTCTGAAGATCATGCACGAGCGCAGCTGAGATGAAATCCACAAACTGCAATGGTTCAATCCGCACGATTAATCAATGGAAGAAGCAGACAAA